CCCTGTGTTTCGGCGTCGTGGCATGTAATAAGCCAAGTCCAACTGGCATTCCAGCCTGACGGGCTGCCTGCCAACTATCTATCCAGGCAAGTTTGTCAGGCCCCGGACAAAGTTCCATTACTCAAACACTCGCCCAGCGACGCACATTTTCCTTTAATTTCCTTTTTAGTTTCAGCGCCAGCCAGCTTGTCACAAAAATTGCTTCCCCTTTACTCATTCCATTTTTTTTTAAATATTTTTTTTTGGTATTTTTCATTATTTTTTGAAGTTTCATTCTAGCTCAATGGCACTTGGCAAATGTCAGCTTAAAGCATCGATGCATGCACTGGGGCTTTAATGAATGCCCGCGAGGCTATGCAAACAGAACTGTAACGGCCAACGGGCCATATAAAATGCATTCGAGTAACTAACTTGGCGCAGAGCGAACGCGTTTATTTGGTAACCAAATGGCTGGATGTCGTTACCCACTCGCTGTAAAACAGCGTGGCAGGTGCACACTTTTCCTATAGCTGCCGGCAAATACACATATACACACACATATATACATATATGTATGTGTATGTGCATATATAGTTGAAGCATTGTCACAGGCATTGCCTGGGTGCAAGGGGCGGCTTTATTGGCGTATGTTTATGCGGCAAATTGTGATAAGCGGGTTACCCATGAACAATTTTAACCGGAATTTATAGTTAATGATGAGTTATAAATCTATGTGTTTTATTTGCATATTGACATGATATAGATAAATATAAATAGATGTGTGTGCTATGTGCATGGCAAAGAGAAGATTATTGCTCAGTATATGCTCTTATAAAGACTCAATTCTTGAATTTTTGAATGTTCCCTATTCAACACAAAATACCCAATACTCTAAAGACTTTCTCTCGCTCCTGAAAATGAAAAGGATTGTAAGAGAAGGGCAATACTACATCATATAACAAGATTACAAAATGGATTCAAAGTGCTTTGACAATTGGATAAAAGAGTTTCACAAAATGTTCAAGATATATAAATAGATGGATTCACGATACTTGAAGAGCAAAACTCGTAACGCATAAACGTGCCAACTAGCTGAGTGCCTTAAGTCAAATCGTGCTGTCTGCCAGCAGAGCTCCAGCTACGCCTACTACGTCAGTCCGCAGTCGACGGCCGTGCGACTGTAATGCAAATAGTTAGGCGCAGACTGTTTGCCAATCGGGCCAAAGCAGGAGCTTGGATTGGTATTGGTTATAAGGCGGGGGACTGCTTCGCAATATTGCGGTTGCGTTGCCCCGCACGAACGTCATGGCAATGACAGACGATGTAAAAGAGTTCATTAATATTGCAAGGTGGACGGGCGACAACAGCTACAGCAACAGCAGGAACAGGAGCAGGAGATGGAGCAGGAGCAGGAGTGGGAGCCAACAGCGACAACACAAACACCATGAACAGTAGAGAACAGCGCAGAGCATATTTTGACTGTGCGCACAATTATTTTGTAATTTGTCACATTTTGTGGAAGCGCCGCCCCGCTCACCCCTTTTCCATTCGACGTCAGCCGCCTCTGCGTCGCGCTGCCTTTGTTAAAAAAAAAAAAAAGAGAGAGAGAGAGAAAAATATATTTGTTCAAGTAGCAAAGTCTCGGGCTCAAGTGGCCTGTGACGGCCTACTAAATAGGAAATGCGGGCTCGTTGGCGCATGGCTAGCAGGAGAGCGGGGGGTAGCTAAGGGAACTTGGTACCTTGTATCCTACCAACAAGCTGCATAATTGTTTGTATTTTACGCTTTACATGAAAGCTAAGCAAATCTTTTGTTACACTGTCTACAGCAACAAGGCTGCGCCTCCTTTAAACAAGATACACACACACACAGCACACACACACGCACACGCACACATACATCGCCCGGCTGCCACCGCTTCATCTAGTAACCCTTCTTGCCGCTTTTGTTGGCCTTACGCTTTGTGTGCATATTCTAAACATGGCAGCGCTTGGCGGCTACCTCAACCTACTTTTGGGGCCAGACTGCGTTGTCGCCGTCGTTGTTAAGAACTACCCACACAGCGAGCCAGCGTACGTACCCGCTTCCCCCACCTTGTAGCCCCATTTGCCACGCCTACCGAAACGTGCTGCAAGTCAACAGTGAGGCAGTCAGTCAGGCAGTCTTCTTGCTGCTATTGTTGTTGTTGTTGCTGCTGTTGTTGTTGTGCATATTTACCTAGCCCGGCTCTTCAGCGTCCACATCATCTGCAGCATATAGTATATATGTATATACTATGAGAATAAGAGAGCATAATAACTATAACATGGCGTTTGTCACTTTTGGAAAAAAGGCTAAAAATGAATGCCTAAATCTATGCATTATTAAATAATAACATTTGAACTATTTAATTAATTAATTTATTTATTTTATTTAATTGATTTATTTTATTTATTTGTTTATTTTATTTATTTTATGTATTTCATTTATTTTATTTAATTTATTTATTTTATTTATTTTATTTTTTTAATTTTTTTTTTCTATTTTATTTATTTTATTGGTTTTATTTATTTTATTTTTAATTTATTTTTATTTAATATCAAAAATTTTATATATATTTTTTATTTGTATATGATTTTTATTTTATTTATTTTATTTTATAATTTGATTAACATTTTATTATAAAACTCGAACTATTATATATATATATATATATATATATATATATATATATATATATATATTTTTTTTT